CGGCCGCCCCACGCGGAACCGAGCTGGGTGTGCAGAGCTGCTGCTGGTTTTGGGGGTCTGAGCGGGGGGCTGGGAGCCCTGACGCCTCCTCGCTTTCCCCCCACAGAGCGGTGCTCGCATTAACATCTCAGAAGGGAACTGCCCTGAGCGGATCATCACCCTTGCTGGACCCACCAATGCCATCTTCAAAGCTTTTGCGATGATCATTGACAAACTGGAAGAGGTGTGTCTGCGGCCTCGAGCCTCGCCCCTGCCTGCAGCGAGCAGGCAGCGGGCTGCTGCCCTGCCTGCAGTCATCCTTTAACACTGTCCCTGGATAAATTTGCCTCGGGGTCTGCCCCAGAGTGTGCTGGGGGTTTTGGAGCATGGGAGAAAGCTCTTCCCTGGGGTTGAGCAGCAGGATGGGCTCGTTCCGCCTGGGCTGGTGTTATTTTCCCCATGGGGCCTGATCTTTGCCCAGCTGTGAGCAGGGTGAAGGTCCAGGCAGTGACACTTCCCCGTGTGCGTTCAGCCGTCCTTAAGTGGCTGCTTGCTGAGCGCCAGAGCCCTGCAGGGACTTTCCTGGGCCAAAAACACCCCATGGCCACTGGTTAAACAACTTAAAACGGAGCAGGGCTTTGAAACTCCCCTGGCTTTGCTCGTCCTCCTGGGCGGTCTTGCTGCTTCTGCTCTGGCACGTCCCAGTGGGTAATGGGGGCTCGGCTCCATCTCCGGCCCTGCCAAGGAGGGGACCTTGGGGTGCGGCTGTGCGGTGCTGAAGGAGGAGCTGCATCGTGCCCCTGTGCCTGTTGAATCGGTGACTTCCAGCGGGGATGTTGATCCTAGATAACCCGGATTCTGACTGTGGGTGTTAGACCCTGCTCAGGGCCCTGCTGTCGAGGAGCTTTTCATCCTGCTCCGCGTCGTTTGGAAGGCGTGAGCGCTCCTCCCTTGGTGCAGGGCAGAGCTCCACGGCCCTCACCTCGCCTGTGGGGGTAAAAATCCTGTCACCCTTTTAGATTTGGGACCCTTCCCTGGGAGGAAACAGCCCCAGTGCTGGCAGATCTGTCCCCAGGGCCCCTCTGTTCTCGCCGCTGCCTAAAAGGCTGCTGAGACTAGAGCTGTTTCTGCCCATACCCTGAGAGCTGGAGTCCTTCGAGGGCTCCTCATCCGAGCATGGCTCCTGGCTGCCGGCATTCCGAGTGCTGGACTCAGAGTTAAAGCTTTTATTTTAGTAGGTCAGTTGAGCCGTGGCCTTGTGCCTCCCCTCCCCCTGCCAGCACATGACCGCTGTAATCAGCGCCGGGCTTGTTTTTCCCCGGAGCTGCTCCTGCCCTGATCCCCCGTTGCAACAGGAGGCTCCGTGCTGAACTGGAAGCTGTGGGCGCACCGAGCCCCCAACCAGTTGACCCCCAACCACTTGCCCCCTCCAGCGCCGGCACAGCCAGTTCCCATTTGGCTGTGGCGTGACCCAGCCGGTGCCTCTGCACTGGGTTGGTGGGTGTTAAACCCCCATTTTCACAGAGACAACAGAGTTTGGTTTCTTCCTCCTTCCCTAAAATGTGGCTGTGTCGTTTCTGGGTTGCTAATGAAGTCCTGGGAAATAGGACTGGGAGAGCCCTGGGGTCACCTTGACCCAGCCTGCCTGTGCCAGTGTCATCGTCCCCATCCCTCTGCCGGACACGTCACCTCCCTGCATGCCGTTCCGGCGAGGGCACCACACCAGGCTGACGCTTCTGAGTAACTCCTCTTCCTCGCAGGACATCAGCAGCTCCATGACCAACAGTACAGCTGCCAGCCGGCCCCCTGTCACCCTCCGGCTCGTGGTACCCGCCAGCCAGTGCGGTTCCCTCATTGGGAAGGGAGGCTGCAAGATCAAAGAGATCCGAGAGGTGCGTCTTGGCCAGCCTGGGGGGAGGATGCACAGAGTCCGGGTGCCCCCAGGGGCAAATCCTTGCATCAGCCCCCAGCCCGGGTGGTACCACATAGCAGAGATGTGGCATCACTCGACCTTTTTAGAGCTGCTTGTATTTTTAGTGCTTGTGAAACTGAGACTTGGGGCAGACCTTCCCCTTCCTGGCACGCTCCCCTGCAGCAGGACGCCGGGGTTTCTGCTCCCCCCTTTCCCCAGGCTCTCAATCACCACCACCCCAGGCCTTTTCCCGGTTGTTGGAGGGGCGGAGTGCGCTGCCAGGCCTGCGCTGCCCTCCATAATGCCACTTAGCACTGGGTGCTGCTGACCCCAGGCTGCCGGGGGATTAACTCTGTCCGGCTCCGCTGGCTGTGGAGATGGCCTTGACTTGGGTTACAGGGAAAGGCTGTAGGTCTTCCTCTCCTGCCCCAGGCTCCCAATGACCGAATTATTTCCAGCTAGGATTAAAGGACTTTCTTTTTGAGGAAAGGGTGTGGGGGCAGTTTTGGCTATGTATAACCCGGCCACGGGGTTTGTTGCTGAGGTCACAGCCCTCCCTGGGGTCTGACCACCTATTTTTAACCGTAAACTTTGCAGAGCACGGGGGCACAGGTCCAGGTGGCAGGAGATATGCTGCCCAACTCGACCGAGCGAGCCATCACCATCGCTGGGATCCCACAGTCCATCATCGAGTGCGTCAAACAGATCTGCGTCGTCATGCTTGAGGTAGGGCCTCTGTGCCCTGGCCCCGTGGGCCTGGTTTTTCCCCCGGGGAGGCACGTGCAGCGCAGGGATCCTCGCTGCCCTTGGCAAGCTGCGTCCCCCCTCGCGAGTGGAAACCACTGAGGACAGAGGAATGGCTGCTGGGGGATAAAGGGATAGCTGGGGATTACAGCCTCGTCCAGGTGAGGCTTGGAGCTGCTTAAAACCAGGGTCGAGCCAGGCCTCTGGATCTGCTCACTGGCTAACAGTGCTGCTTGTGGCTCCGTGGTGACCGGTCGTGTTGCACAGCATGGTGTGACACCGAGCAGCGGCGTCCTCCTGTCCCAAGCCCATGGCTCTGTGCACCGTGGGCGTCCTCCCTCGGCCCTGCGCCTGGGGTGGGGAAGTAGACTTGCTCTGCATCCTCCCAAAGGGCCGATTTAAACCCGAGGCAGAGCATTGGTGTCTGGCCTGCAAGGGAGGGGGTTGTCGGTGCCAGCGGTGCTCAGTGTCTAACCTCTCCTCTCTGCCTGTCACCCAGTCTCCCCCAAAGGGCGTCACCATCCCGTACCGACCCAAGCCATCCAGCTCTCCCGTCATCTTTGCAGGCGGTCAGGTAAGGCCTCTCCTCTGCTCCTGGGGTGCGGGGTGGGGAGAGAAAGGGGGTGTCTTACCGAGCTGCCACGCTGCCAGCGCACGTCAGCCGCTCTGTGTGCCTGTCACCCACGCCGCTTCCTCCGGCGGAGAGCGGCTCTGTTTGGCCTCAGCCTCCCAGAGCCTGCTCCGAGCCTTCCTCACTGAGCTTGCTGAGGGATGGAAGAGGGCAGAGGTGGGATGGAGAGGGCCAAAAGGGCTGATTGTGGGGAGGGGGGCGGTGCTGGCAAACAGTCCCGGAATTAACCGGCCAAAAAAATAAATCCCAGTGTGGTGGCGGTGGCGGTGGGGGATTGGAATCAGGCTGAGGCTGCAGCTGCCAAATCCAGGCTCTGTCCCTCTGCCTTGGGCTGGCTCTGAGGATGCGGCGTGACCTGTTGTGGGTGACCGGCCCAGAGGGTTGGGGGGTTCTCTGGGGCTGGCTTTTGGGGTGCAAAGGCTTAGCCTGTGCCATTGGGGGTAGGGTTGGGGTGCGGAAAGGCTTCATCTTGCATGAGGGGAGGGTGTCAGATAGGAGTAGCCATCAGGTGACGTGGGTTTTAGTCCCTCCTGCGCTGAGCTGATCCAGGGGAGTTGCTTGCTCCCTGCTGCCGAGCCCGGTTACAGGGGACAGGGCTCCCCTT